ACCACCAGGCTAACCCATCCTCCCGCCCCCCTCCCCTCTAGAACCCTCAGTTTGTTTTTCAGAGTCTATCGTCTCTCATGGTTCGTCTACCCCTCCGATTTCCCCCGCTTCATTCTTACCCTCCCGCTACCTTCTTCTTCTTCTTCTTTTTTTTTTTCTTAACATATATTGCATTATTTGTTTCAGAGGTACAGATCTGAGATTCAACAGTCTTGCACAATTCACAGCGCTTACCAGAGCACACACCCTCCCCAGTGTCCATCACCCAGTCACTCCATCCCTCCCACCCCACCCAACATTGTGTAAATTTAAGGTGTACAATCTTCTGATTTTATACAATTGTATATTCCAAGCCGATTTCCACCTAGCATTAGCTAACACCACTATCCTGTTATATAATTACCATTTCTTTTTTTGTGGTCAAAACATTTAAGATTTACTTTCAGCAATATTCAAATATATGTACAGTGTTGGGGCTCCTGGGTGGCACAGTCCTTTAAATGTCATATCTTTGTTTCAGCTCAGGTCATCCTTTAAATGTCAGATCTTGGTTTCAGCTCAGGTCTTGATCTCGGGGTCGTGGGGTTGAGCCTTGCATCGAGCTCCGTGTTCAGCACAGAGTCGGCTTTAAGACTCTCTCCCCCTTTCTCTGCCCTCCTGTGAATGCGTGCATGTGTGCACATGCTCTCTCTCTCTCTCTAAGACAGATAAATAAATCTTTAAAAAAGTATGTTACAGTGTTACTAGTTATAATCACCATGCTCTACATTAGATCCCCAGACCTTGGAACTAGAAATTTATACCCTTCGGCAAAAGCTCCCCATTTTCCCCCACCCCAGCCCCTGATAGTCAAACTCTGTTTCTCTAAGTTTAGCCTTTTTTTTTTTTTTTTAAGATTTATTTATTTGTTTTGGGGGGTGGGAGGGACAGATGGAGAGGGAGAGAGTCCTGAGGAGATTCTGTGCATTGAGCACAGAGCCTGATGCAGGGCCTGATCTCACGACCCTGAGATCACAACCTTAGCCAAAACCAAGAGTCAGATGCTTAACCAACTGCATCACCCAGGTGCCCCTAAGTTTGGCCTTTTTAAATTTCCCATATAAGTGGTATCATACAGTATTTGTCTTTTTCTAACTTACTTTACTTAGTATAATGCCCTCCTCAGGGTTCATCCAAGTTGTTGCAAATAGCAGATGCCTTTCTTTTTCTTGGCTGAGTAATATTCTACTGTATGTATGTGTATAGCACATCTTTAGCCATTCATCTGTTGGTAGACACGTAAGTGGTATCTTGGCTATTGTGAATAATGCTGCAGTGAACATGGAGGTTCACATATCTCTTTGAGAGAGTGATTTGGTTTCCTTTGGATAGATGCCCAGAAATAGAATTGCTAGATCACATGATAGTTATGTTTTTAATTTTTTGAGGAACCTCCATACTATTTTCCACAGTGGCTGCGCCAATTTACATTCCCACCAACAGTGCGCAAGGTGTCCCTTTTCTCCACATCCTCGCCAACACTTGTTATCTCTTCTCTTTTTGATGATAGCCATTCTGACAGGCATGAGGTGATAGCAGATCATGGTTTTGATTTGCATTTCCCTGATGATGAGTGATGGTGAGCATCTTTTCATGTGTCTCTTGGCCATCTGGATGTCTTTGGAATTTATTGTCTTTACAGAGAAGTGTATTCTCACTTAAGTGTCAAGGCAAATGGTTTGACTGTCATCACAGGGATAGATAGCTTGGGTTTTGTGTTTTGGCCAGAATCATCAGTCTTCTCATAGGTGTGATTACTTTTCCAACTCAGTCTCCTCTTTGACAAGAACAGGAGTCTTCATTAAAACTACTGATCACAAATAGCAAAGAGTCTATCAGTCCCCCAAAGAGCAATTTGTAAAGAAAACCAATACCTACATAAAATGGAGTCTCTTAATAATCCATAAGAACATTAATCACTGTGTCGTGTAAGTCTGATTTTATCCCCAGGCTTTATTACAATGCCTCCTTCAACTTAACCAAAATCTTTCTCTTGGAGTCAGACCCCTATGGAACAGCATCAAGACTTTACCACTAGGTTGGCTATTCGGGCCTTTTGGCCTCAGTTTTCTGTCCACTTAAAGCCAAGTGTCCTGATAGTGTTTCATAGCTGCTTTTCATGGAACTGCTAGACAAGAAATTATTCTGGTAGCTGACTTCCATCACAGGTGTTTTATTTTGTTTTTGTTTTTTTCCTGAAATAATCCCTCAGAGATTTCATGGAATTCCAAATCTTCTGTTTTAAGAAACCTTAAAGGTTCAAGCTCTGGCTTTGAGAGCTTAGAGAACTCTTACTATTGTGTTGTTCCTGATTGAGAGAGACGGCGATTTAAATGATTTTTCTGGAATCTGTGCCCTCTCTTCACAAATTCTAAGAAGGGTTTTCACCTGTTTTATTAAACTCCAAACACTTCCTCATCCCATGAGAATGATATCTTATTGGGGTCTTGTGTATTTTGAAATTTGAACATAAACAATTCCTTTGTAGCCACTGTCTCTGTAGCTAGTTCTGGTGTAGAAGTGAGAGTTACAAAAAGCTACTTTATTCAGGCTGGAAATTTTACCAAGTTCATGACTTTATGAAGAACAAATCATTGTAGCCCACATCTAAACAGAGAATTTGACTTGCTTTTAAAATAAAAATGTAAAGTGTTTTCATGTGTGCTAGTATGTAACATTATATCTCTTTATACTGTATCTGTTTTTTCCCTGTTTCCTGCATTTGTAAGAAAAGTTTTTTACTTACCCTTGAAAATACTGGTTTCCAGAACTTACGTAGACACTCCCTTTTGTTTCCAAAACTAGAATGGCATTTCTTTTTCTTCTCCAATTTGACTTTATAGTGTCTACACCTAGAAAGAAAGAAAGAGCTAGATTCCTATATAGTCCCTTATATATGTAATATTCTTAGGCCTCTGCTGTCTTCGTGTTACTGAAAGTGACTACTATGTGCCTTTTATACTGAGAACAGGGAGCTCTTAGTAGAATAGTACAGTAGTGACTCTGGACAGCTCTTATTTATATAGATATTTAAATAGTGTGACTTGATGATACTGATTTGCATTGAGTTCGGGAACTCTTTGGGAGTGACATGATCCAGGATCCAGGAACAAATGCTTTGGAGAGAAACCCCAGTGAGAGCAGTTGGCTTGGTCACTGAGCAGGGCTGGCTCAACTGCTGGTTTCTATCATGCTGTCAGATAGATTGCTATTGGCTGCTGGGAGAGAAAGTAGCATTTTGCTCTGAAATGGGCTAATTAGGAGAGAATACAAGCTCCCTCCTAGGGTTTCCATGGCCTGGCCACTGAGCAGGGGGACATCTTCAGAACTGCAGCTGGATGGGAGGGAGGGCCGCTGGGGTGTGGTGGGCGAAGATCCATGAGCTGAACTCCCCCTGTATTTTCAGTAAGAGTCCCCAGAGCATGTCGTGTAAGCTTATTCTCTTCATGACCTGAGATTTGTCTGTTTCTCCAGGCCTGGAATCAGGTTCTCCGCATCTGATCAAATGAGCAATTAGATACTCAAGAATGACCCCCTCAAATAAATAAATAAATAAATAACAACACTGATTGTTTAACAAGTGCATCAGAGCTGAGGCATCCAAATTGAGAGAGAGCCTGCCCCTTCCAAGTTGTCCCCTGGGAGGCTGTGTACTTCTTCCAACAACCCTATATTGCTCAAAATGTTTTTGGCATTTTTCTTTCAGCCATATATTTAGAATCTATCACATAGGCTGTTTTGTTGACAGATCTTTATTTTTAGAGGGATGAAATAACTAACTAAATATTTAGAAATAAACAAAAGTCATTCTGAGTCCTGCCTGCAGATAGCGTAGGTGAGTGACCAGGCAGGCAGTTCCATTTGGGGTTAAAAATGAGATCTGATAGGAGCATCTGGCTGGCTCCATTGGTAAAACATGTGACTCTTGATCTCAGCATTGTGAGTTCGAGTCCCACTTTGGGTATAGAGTTTACTTCAAAAAAAAAAAATCTTTCAAAAAAATGAGATCTGATGTTTTCATGCTATCTTTGGGATCTTAAAGCAGTTTTCAAAGAGGTATTTCAAAACTATTTTGAACAGGAGAAGCATCATGGAAATAAGTTTCTGGATGTGGCCGCTTTGATGATACACTTATTCAAATGTATACATTCTGGTTGTGTATTTTGTAAAGTCTAATTATCCTCCAGTTTTAAGACTATCAGATTTTTTCCAAAATCACATGAATAGCCATATGAAGCTTATTATAGTCAGACTACCCAATAGAAATGAAACTGTTCAGAAAGAGCAAGCGAGCTACCAGATAAGAATGGGTTATGGGGATAACTGTGTTAGAGTTGCTTTGTAAGTTAACCTTATATAGGCTCCCTGTTCTTCAGTGAAAAGGGAATAGTAATAATCAAGTCACACTGTCCACATCATAGGATCGTTGCGTGGTTCTTAAGGAGGTATGGTATATGAAGCATGGAATCATGGTACTTTGTGTGTAGTCATGTTCAATACATGTGGGCCATTTTGATCATGCCACTGTGACACGATAGCTTGTCTGGGAGAGAGGAAGACTAGACAAATAAAGGATAGGGTGCTGCGTGGGAAAGAAGGAAAGTACTGATGGTAGAACAAGACTGGCCTCCTTCAGTGTTTAACGTTCTTCACACCAAATCTGTTTCTTCACACTCCAGTGACACATTAACCTAGATACATGTCAGGCTCGACATAAGCAGTATTTTAATTTTCAGCTGTCCCTGAAATTTTTGGCTCTTTATCGGGACTGTTCATATTCTGAACAACAAAAATCCCAACAAAACAACAAACCAATAACCTCGACATCCTCAAAAATATGGTGTTGAAGATTTGGCTCTCAAGTTGTGAAAAGAAGTTGTGTTATGTTCCCAGCTGACATGATTTTTGTGCATTTAAAAACTGCAAATCTCACCACTCGCACTATGTTGCCTTTGAAACAGATGAAGATGAAGATGGTGACCGAATTACAGTGAGGAGCGATGAAGAAATGAAGGCCATGCTGTCCTATGTAAGTCTATCACAAATGAGGACTATTGTAATGTGTTAATGTAATCGTGGGCACTGTTTCTCGGCATGCTGAAGATATAAAAATAAATCACAGCTACCATAACATTCTTCTGTAGGATGCATAAGGGTTTCAAGGATTTCCTTACGTTAAAGTTAAGGGCGTTCTTTTCAAAAGACACTTACTGATCATATCATGAACATTAAGAATAATGCGTCTTAATGACTTTTGCATTAGGTATGGTGCAGACTAAATGGACTATCAATTTCCTGTATTTTTTATGCAGTACTTAAAGTAACGGCTCATTAAAAATGAACCCCTGGGCTCTAAAAAATTTTTCAAAATCTACTTTCAACTGGAGATCTCTTTCACCCTTCCAAACAGACTGTAGTTATAATGTAGCTGCAGGCTTAGTATGGATACGCGATTTTAAAATGTACTCTCGGTTATTTTATGCACTAACCACCCCCTTTTTTTCCACCCTGAAATGAACTGCAGGGTTACTTACTGTTTCAGAGTGATTTGACTATATCCTGAAATGACTTTTCTTTTGTGTTTCAAATTTCAGTGGAAATTTGCCTTAGCCGTTTATCTGGGACTAAAGTAGATAAGCAAGATAAGACAAAAGGGTACATATCTAAAACTTTAATACTTAGCCTGACAAATCCAACTATGATGAAGAGGTGTAACTTCCCTGAGCCCTGATTTGTGCTGTCCTCTCATTGAGTTTTATTTCTTCTTATTCATTTTATTTTCTTCTATCCGAGTTTGTAATCTGTTTACAAAACCTTTTCTAGGGGCTGGGTAGAGAGAGAGCCCTGGACTCAGGTCTCTGACTCAGCTCTCCTCTGGTCGCTGGCCTTAGGCAGATCACTTAACCTTTCTGTGCTATGGCTGCCTCATCTGTCCATTGTGGATAATACCACTTGTCCTTTCTACTGCATAGGATCATTGTAGTGATCAAATGGGATAATAGATGTGAAAGCCCTTTGAGAAGTTAAAAGTTCTATACAAATGCAAAGTGGTATGATGGTGGAAATGATGGACTCAGGGCCCCTGCTGGTCCCCATCGCCATTCATAGCCAACACAACATCCGTAGGTTTCTGATGGACCTCAGCTTCAACCAGGATATTGTTTCATTGTAATGAAAACTGAAATATCTGTAAGGGTTTCCGCCAATAGTTTTAATTTAGGGTAGGAGGAAAGAGAACAAGAAGGATGGCATGATTAACAGAGCGTTGCATTCAGACCAGCAGAGAGTAGGAAAAGTCAATTTCCCATTGACTTCCCATTAACTTATTTGAGAGTCTTTGTGCACTGAGAATTTAGAGCAGGGCTCATCAGTACCTTGAAAGGCAGAGGAGGATTGTCTGCTGAAAGGTCTAGCACTAGTATTGATAGATTGCCTAACTCTCCTGGGAGTGTGAGATGCTTATTTTTAGGAAGCACACACACACACAGATGGATTCTAGTTTTTCAACATACATCCACTGCAGAGAGTACATTACTTAGACATCACTGTACTTTTATTATGTCTCTGACATAGCCACACACAAAGTTGTGCTTTCAAAAACGTGCTTTTGGGAAGTTCTGACAAATTATGCTTTTTGAGAAATGTTAATGCGTGTCATCATAGTGATAATAATCATTCGCGTTTCTAAGTGACTACTATATATATATATATACTAGATGCGAAAGGTATCTAATTTTCTGTGGTTTTAATAATGACTCGGTGAGGTAGATTTTATCATCCCGATGTTTTAGATGAGGAAGCCATGGCTAAGAGATACGCCCAAGGTCTTGGGGCTAGTGTGAATGTGAGCATGGAGTTAAGTTCAGCCACTCCTGGTGTGATAGCCAGTGCTATCCAAGCTGTTTTTGCTGTTTCTCTCCCATCTACCTCCTTGCACATTAAGGAGTGTCTGGGGAGTTGTCTGTGTCATCACCATCAGTACATTCTGGGTGATTTGTGTGTATGTAATACCTCAGTTGAGATATCTGTAGTATATATTCCCTATGATTTATGTTTCTTTTCTCAAATGCAGTGTTCATTTTTGTGTTGTAGGAAAATACATTAAGAGTTATGTAATTGTCTTTAAACTGACAAGTTTCTGAGATTTCAATAGGACCACTTTTTAGTCTGAAAAGAGATCATCTAGCTCATTGATCCCCAAATATGTGGCTTTCACGCATTAATCAATTTTCACTTTTAGATTGGAGGACATAGGCATTGTGACATTTTATTTTGCCAAATAAACACGTTAATAAAATAAGTAAATAATAAAAATTACCTACTGTTCACTATTATTTTACTAACAAAGAAAAACAGTGAGAGTCATTTAAAGATTAAAAATGATGGGCAGTACATAATCTCAAAAGGAAAGGTGACCATTAGAGTGAGTAGATTTAGGAGTACCTAGCTGGCTCTCGGTCAGTGGAGTGTGCGACTCTTGATCTCAGGGTTGTGGGTTTGAGCCCCACGTTGGGGGTAGAAACTACTTAAAAATTAAAAAAAATAAAGTGAGTAAAGTTAGTTTTATGTAAAACTCACTACATTCTTTTCCTACCTCATTTTAAAAAATTGAAGTACAGTCGACATATTATGTTAGTTTCAGGTGTACCGCATAGTGAATTGATATTCTTTACTTTTATCAATTTGCAGTGGATGGTGAAGCCTTTTTTTATGAATTGGCAGTGGTCTATACATTGTGGTCTGATCAGGTCCAGGCTTTCTCATTAATTCACTTAAATATTTATAGATGGGAACCTGAAATCCCCAAGAATTTTAACTTAGTTCCACTCTTCTGATTCTGAATGTTTGAGCAAAATCTTTTTAAATGAAAATATCTCGGCGAGAGATAACAAGCTTTAAGTCATTTAAAGCCTAAATGGATTTCTTTTTCCTCTTACCTGTTGAGATAGCCCTACCATCATATACCCGTTGTTTATGTAGAGTCAGGCTCTGAATAAACATTTAAAAAGTAAAGAGTAGGGGAATCTCCTCCTCAAAAAGCACACATAAAATTGGTTGGCTGTCATTTTGATCTGTCTTGGCTCTTTTTAAAAAACTTTATTTATTTGAGAGCATGAGCGGGGTTGGGGGGAGGGGCAGAGGGAGGAGAAGAAGCATGTTCCCCACTGAGCCACCCAGGCGCCCCTGATCTGTCTTGGTGCTTATGATTAAAATTCCTCAGGGTTCCAGTTTTGCCATAAGGAGAACCATTTGGACCTAATCTCACATAGATTGTGGTTGATCGCCTTTAGTTGCTGATCTATTATGAAAAAGCTGCATGGTCTTTATTTTTTAGGTTCATTTTGACTGAAAACTTTTTGAATCCAGGATCTGGGTGGTGGGGTGGGGAAGATACTGAGATACCGAGATACTGACAGGTAACCCTGTATTTACTGTAAAAAATAGCTTAGTTTCTCATGTCAAATTTAATAAATTTGCAGTCCCCTTATTATTTCTTTAGAATCCATATGGGGAAAGCAAAACTAGAGACACTTTTACTGGAAATCCCTTAATCATTCTTTTCCATTGATTACAAAGGTTAAATGAATAAACAGCCTGGATCTCTGCATAAAATTAAGAAGAAAATATGCAACGTCTGAGTTGCAACTTGCAGAATTACTGTTTTCCCCCTTGAACGCAAGTATTTTCTGGCTTTGGGCCAACAGAAACATAAGTTTTTATCAGTAATTTAAATAGATTTTCGTATTAGACCTGAAAATGTTGCCTTTTTAATTGAAAACTTATCAATTATTTAAATTGCTAGCAGCCTTAGGCTGTTAATTTTATGTGTGCCATAATAATAATAATGGCATACAGTGGCTTTTGATACATGTGACACGTGGATATCGCGTCGTAGTAGGGATTTGTCATGACAGTAAGTTGTCGTGTGCTGTTAGATAATAACCAACATATTAAACCAAAGTCTGTTGTCACACATTAGTACTGTTTTATGTAAGTTATTTAGAAATTGTATTCTTTTCTTCATTAGATATATTTTTAAGAGATAACGAGAAGAAAACAAAGCTATAATAAATTGTCTTTTAAGAAAATGTAAAGTAATTTGGTCTCCAAGGAGATACTTAATGTATTGAGAGAATCCAGCAGCCAAGTGTTATTACAGCACCATTGTGATCGCTCTCTGCGTTTTGTTATGAGTTTGTGTTAATCAACAATCTGTTTTTATAGCGTAGTTTCTTGTAAGTTATGTTGTTAGAATATTCCACTTCTGGGATCATGGCTTTTCCTCTGACACTATTGTATCTTTTTCATTCCTCCATAAAGTATTTTTTTAATTAGAATCTGAAATGCTTTATTAGAAAAAAAAAAAGTACACCCAACCTACATATTCTGAAAACTAAATACCTGATCATTGCTAATTATTTAAAGGACCCTGTTAAATATTCCCTTAATATAGTTTACATTTCTGTTGATGTTCTTGTTTCCCCCTCTCATTTTCTTGGAAGATTAAAGATGGTGTGTTGTTTTTCTCCTCCTGTCTTTTTGTGTTCATTGTCTAGCAGTGCTGGCTTCATTTCCTTTCAGCACCAAACAACAGGGCTGGGCCTTGTTTATTGATTAATCATAAGCTTTATCTATCACTGAGACCGAGTTATAGGAGGGGTTATTTTAATGTTAACCTCGGCTTTTGGGTGACCTTTCATTAAGAAACTCAGCAGTACATCTTGCTTTTGTAAATGGATTCATATTTGTTTCTGCTAAATCCCGTGTCTAGTACAGGATTTATTACACCTGGTTCTCTCGATCCTGAGAGGCTTGTGTGAGTGGAACACAGTATTAACAAGAATAATTTTCTTCATTTTGCCCATTCTCTGCCTTTATACCATTTTTACACATTGCCAGAAGAGTATGGGATGAGTTTAACTGTAATGCCTCCCATTATGGCAGAGACCTTGTGTTTTAGTGGAGGATAAGTATTCCCTTTGGTATACTTGACCATTGTGTAACTTTTTACATGTTGGGTACCATGAG